TTCTCTGTATGGCTTATTCATAGCATAACACTCTCCAGTTCCATCCACGTTGCTACAAAGGGCCATATTTCATTCTTTCTCATTGGCACGTAGTACTCCATTGTGTATATAAACCACAATTTCTTTATCCATTCATCAGTTGATGATGAACATTTAGGCTCTTAATTTGTAGCTATTATTGTTGAGAGTGCTGCTATAAACATTGGGGTACAAGTGCCCCCATACATCAGTACTCCTGTATCTCTTGGGTAAATTCCTAGCAGCTTAATCACCTTTTTAAAAGCTCTGTCTCCAAATACAGTCACATTCCAAGGTGCTGAGGGTGAGGGGTTCAACAGATGAATGTTGATGGGTTACAGTTCAGCCCATAACAGGCATTTATCTTAGGAGTGGAATTGCTGGGTCATGTGGAGACCCTACATTTAACTTCTTGAGGAAGTGCTAAGCTGTTTTCCAAGGTGACTACCATTTTACATTCCCAGCAGCCATGTGTGAGTGTTCCAGTTTCTCCATGTTCTTGTCAACTCTTGTTATTGTCTGTCTTTCTAATGTGGTATCTCACTGTGGCTTTGTTTTGTATTTTATTGATGGCTGATGATTTTGAACATTTTTTCATGTGCTTACAGGCTTTTTGTTTATCTTTTTGGAGAAATATCTATTCAATCCTTTACCCATTTTTAATTGGCTGTCTTTTTATTGTTGAATTGAAAGAGTAATTAATATATTCTGGATACTAGACCCTCATCAGATATATGATTTGTAAGTATTTTTTCCCTTTCTGTGGGCTGTCTTTTTATTAGTGATTATGTGCAATTTTTCTCCTTTGGTTGCTTGTGTTTTAGGTGTCATATCTAAGAAGCGATTGCCTAATTCAAGGTCACGAATCTTTACACAATGTTTTCTTCTAAGAGTTTTATGATTTTAACTCTTACATTTAGGTCTTTGATCTATTTTGAGTTTTTTGTAATGTATGGTGTGAGGTAGGAGTCCAACTTTATTCTTTTGCATGTGAATATCCAGTTGCCTCAGCAACATTTATGAAATGACTGTTCTTTTCTCATTGAATTATCTTGGTACCTTATTGAAAACCAGAGGACCATAAATGTATGCATTTATTTTTGGGCTCTCAACTCTGTTTATTTGATCTATGTTTATGCTACTTTCACACTGCCTTGATTACAGTTGCTTTGTAGTAAATTGTGATAATGGAAAGGGGGAGTTTTCCAACTGTATTCTTTCTCAAGATTGTTTTGGCTGGTGTGGGTTCCATCTTAATATGAAGTCTTCCAGTCCATGAACATAGAGTTCTTTCCATTTATTTAGGTTGTTTTTAATTTCTTTAAATATTTTGTAGTTTTTCACTGTATAAGTCTTGCATGTTTTTTGTTAAATTTATTTAAAATATTTTATTCTTTTTGTTGCTACTGTAAATTAAATCATTTTTTAAATTTCATTTTGTATTATTCATTGCTAGTGCCCTAATTTAATTTTTGGTTTTTTAGATTTTATTTATTTATTTATTTATTTATTTATTTATTTATTTATAAGCAACCTTTACCCCCAATGTGGGGCTTGAACTCTCAACCCCAAGATCAGGAGTCTCATGTACCATGGACTGAGCCAGCCAGGTACCCTGATGTAGTTTTAAAAAAAAAACAAAAACAAAAAAACCCCCAAAACAACAAAACTGTGCTAAAATGCACATAGGTTAAAATTTACCAAGTTACTTATTTAAGTGTACAGTTCAGTGGTATTAAGGTAAATACCTTCACATTGTTGTACAACAGTTCACTAGAACTCTTCTCACCTTGGCTGAATGACTTTTAATTTGAAAGATTTACATGGACTCTTAACTCTTCATTTAAGCTGTGTCTTAGAGTTTTACCTCTCTCGAGCCTGTATGAAATCTCCCGGACGGAGTAGGTGATGTGGATAGTTATTTGGTAACTTATCAAATATATTGATTTTTTTTTCTTTTCGTATCTATACATTTCTGGGTGTGTGTGATGGAAACAGAAGCTGAAAGTGCTGTATTACTTAGCTTCTTTGATGCTGAGTCAGTCCTGTAAAAGGTTGACATTGGGTATTGAGGGAGAACTCTTTTACTGAAACACATTAGTGGCCAGAATGAACTGAATCTGTTGCCTGTACTTCCGGGATTATGGGATGTGGGGTCTGTTTGGATTTCTCACAGGGACCACAATTAAAGCAGGAACAGAATCCCGTGTGATACAGAGTGGCAGTGAATCATTACTTTTGGCCCTTTGACTTTGGTTCCTTGCAGCCCTACAAAAGGTCTGTCTAAGGCTTCAGAGAACTGCCTGAACCCCAGTGTTATATATGCTATAAATATTCTCTTCAGGAGGTCTAAGATATGAAGTTAACATTTGCTAAGATGGATTTTTACATGCTCCAATTTTAGCATGAAAGATGTGAAACTCTATTTGGCAAACTATCATCCAAATAAAGTTATATAAAAAAAAAATGAATTTCTTAGGTTCATTTCATGGACTAATTTTATTCAGCTCTTGATTACATTTCCTGTGTATAGAGCATGTTTTACACTTGGTAACTGACTCTCATTTAAAGAGAATGAATGGCCAAATTAAATGAATGTCCTTCTGCAGTTTTCAAGTGCATGCATTTCTGATTGGTTTTGTTTGCCTTATTCAATAGAGAGAATAATTCTTTGAGGCCAATTTCATTTTAAGAGGGTAAGTTCAGTGATTTTTCATAATTTAGAATATGAAAAATTACGCTCCCTTGTTTGTATCTGATGGAAACTCAGAGCTGAAATTTTGGCTTTTTTCTGTCTCTGACTCTGCCCACTGCTTCCCAGAATGTTTTGGACAAGTGTGCTGTGCTGAATTTTATGTAAATAAAATTTTCTTTTTTAATTTTTAAAAAATGGCTGTTGTGTCTTTTTGAAGCAATAAAAAAAAGGTGGAGGGGGGTAGAAATATATTTTAAAAGGGGTCGTATTTTCCTTTGCTCACCCTTACCAAGCTATGCGAGAGAAGAAAGTCCACAAACGATAGTTGATCTGCAGTTGTACTAGTATGGAGATATACCTGTATATAAAATAACTGATACCTATATTACCGGTTATTTGGAATTTGCTTAAATAGGGAGGCATTTGTTTATTAACGGTAACTGACATTGTCCCACAGTTTTTGGAACGTTCATCAGGTTACAGTGTATAGCTTAAATACTTTTCAGTTATTCAGACCTTTTATTTCTTCAGTGCAAATTTACGTTTTATGAAATCAGCAGATGCACTAACAGTATCTCAAATGATATTAAGGGACATTGTACTCAAAATGAACAGCTGTTCTCTCTCCAGAGAACAAGAAGAAGTGGGTTTAAATTATAGGAGGAGAGATTTTGGTTGGACATAAACATAACTCCCTCATATTAGGGGAATTAAGATATAAATCTTTATAGCAGATATTTATTAAAACAGCAATGCCTTACATTTCATTATGTGCTATGTAGATGCATTGGATTAAGCACTTTATGTGCATTGTTTATACTTACCAAGTCCTATGAAGCAAACACTGTTATTTCTTCCGTTTTGTAGATGAGGAAACGGAGGCTCGGATAGGTTAAATAACTTACTAAGGTTACACAGGTAGTAAGTGAGAGACCCAGAGTTCGAAACCAGACCATCTGACTCTAGAGCCTGTACTTTTAACCACGTGTAATAGAGAGGATAAAGCAAGGCTGTCCGTTGGGTTGAGCACTCGCCATGGGTGGTGAATCAGTTACGGACAGTAATGGAGAACTGGAAGTAGAAGTAGAAGCAAAGAGGAGTGCCTGGGTGGCTCAGTTGGTTAAGTGTCTGACTTCAGCTCAGGTCATGATCTCGCAGTCCGTGAGTTTGAGCCCTACATCCGGCTCTCTGCTGTCTGCGCAGAGCCCGTTTCAGATCCTCTGTCACCCTTTCTCTTTGCCCCTTCCCCCACCCCCTCTGTCTGTCTCAAAAATAAACAAACATTAAAAAAAAAAAAAATAGAAGCAAAGTGCCACTATCACGATTTGGTCAAAAGTTGACCATGTGTCAACTTGAAAGAAGTGAGCATGTGTCCCTGATTTTTTTTCACTAGGTCATGAATCCTGTAGAAAAACAATGTGGTTCATATGTGAATTGCTTATGGCAAAATTTTGGAAGTTCAGAATCCTATTGGGATAACAAAGAAGTTTCTATATTATACAAAAAACTCCAAATTCAGCAAGAACTAACAAGACCTGGGGAAGATGCAGAGACAGACAGTACAAATACAATTAAGGAATAAAGAAAACTCAGTCTTGTAAGAAAGCAAATCAATGCAAATTTAACCATCCTATGCTATGAATTTTTAGTAAATTAGCAAAAATTTATAAAATGTTAATACCCAAAGCTGGTACTCTCATTCATTACTGATTGCATTTTAAAGTAGTATGTTAGCAGAATAAAATGGTTCAATCAGTAAATAAATATCTCTCTTTCCTGGCACTAATTCAGTAAATATGCAATGCACATACTTATTTTTCTTATATATCGAGAAGTATATTTTATTGAGCTAATCCGCAGTGCACAAGAAATGCTTTGTATTAGATATTTTCCTTGTTAACCACAGAAAAAAATAATTAACAGCTGCCGAGCAGAAATGCTTATTCAGTGTTTTTCTTCAAATTATTAACTATGAGAGATGTATCTTAATTGCCAACCCATCTCAAGCTTAAATTGCATAATAATCGGTCAGTAATCTCATTGTTTCTGTATAATTCTGTGGTCTGAAGGAACATGCGAATCTTATATGTGAGTATTCTTAAATTTGATATTTATTCCTTGCTATGGACTCCCTGAGACTTTGGGAAAGCACTCTTTACTTCGAAAAGTAAGGAATGATGGAATTGCTTTTATTAAAGGTGTGCTTTGATAGTTTTAAAATTTAGTTTGTATGTATTTACTGTATACATAACTGGACAGATGACTACAGTAATAAATCATTTTACAGGTATTCACAGTTTTATATGGAAGATAGCTTTTGCCGTTATAACATGTTCAACCATCACTTCTTTGATGGAAAGGTAAGAATTATTACCGTCATCCTTCTTACTGTGGAAGAACAAATTCGAGAGCACCTCCTTTCTTATTTTCTTTGAGTTCCTCAAGATCAGACTGTGGCTGTCCCACCATTTATTGGTGTGTAGTTTTCTTCATCCACCGAGTGTGTGTTGAGCCCCTAGAAGCGATTGTACTCTTGTTCTTTTGTGACTTTTTGCTGCTTTTCAGATAAAGACCCACTTTCTTACCAAGGCCCACGTGGCTCAGCCTGAGCTGACCCCTGCCACCCTCCAGTGGCTCTCTTTGTTCCCTGCTCTGCTGTGTGTGTGTTCGTGTTCAGGATGTCTGACTTTCATCTCGGAGTGGCTTCTCTGCCCCGGGGGCTTTTGCCCACGGTGTTTCCTCTGCCTTCTGGGCTCATTTTGCCTTGTTAAGTTCACCTTATCCTTCAGAGCTCTTTTCCAAGCCACTTTCTCTAGGCTCCCCTGGCCCCCAGACAAGGTCAAGTTCTCCTTTGTGCTTTGATACTATAATTAAATAATCCTGTGGTTAGTTGTTTGATGTCTGCCTCCCTGATAAATATTAAGGGGGTTTATGGTTTTAGTAAACTAACTCTTAAAAATTAGACTGTGTCAGGAGTGAACCCTAATCTACGAATGGCGTGTCAGTGTGGGTTCATTAGTTGTGCAAATGTACCGCTCTGGTGGGGCATGGTGGTAGTGGGGGAGGCCGTCCATGTGTAGCAGGGGATGGCATCTGTCAGTACTATGATGTTAGTAACGTCACTATGAATAAACAACATAGCAGAGCTGATACTTGCACTCCTAGTTTGAGCTCTTTGTTAGTCTTATTACAATATAAAAACTATACCCAACCAAGTAATGACACCTGACAGGAAGTTGGCCACACTGTTTGAAATTATCAAGACTACTTGAAGCACATATCCATATATGTATGTATATCAATTTTCCAGAAATTCTGAACCATGTATATGTATATATTATGTTTTTAGATATTAACTGATGATAGAACAAAAACCAAGCAAAACTAGAACACTGAGCATCCAGGAAATGAAAGCAAATTCTAAATTGTTGTTTGGGGTTGAAAAATGAGTCTCCTGATTCAGTCTAGCCAGTGATGCACTCCTTCCACGAGACTCAGTCAGCATTGGGTTCTGTATTTTTTAGCTATGATAGCCATAAAAACCAAGTATTGAAATAAATAGCAGTTAGAACTAGACATATTGCAGAGTTTCCCAAAGCAGTTATGTGGTCGATCATCTCCAGGATTTGAGAACTGATTAGATGAGTGTGAAGGAGAGAGAGGTATTGAAAACTCACTTGACAGTGGACGATGATGGCCTTCTCAACTAGGACAGTGGCAGTGGGAAAAAGAGAGAGGTGGATTCCGTGGGCTTCCACAGATGGAAACCAGAAGACTTGGTGGTAAGTATACTGCGGGAGAAGTCCAAGAGGATATGGTGGTCCGGCCTGGATTTGTATTTCATTCTTCAAAACAGAGGGTAGGGAAGTTTGGAAGGGAGATTTGGAAATGTCAAGTTTCTGGAGCTGGTGAAATGTTGATTTAGGGGTATGGAGTCTGGCTTCTTGAAACTGGGGGACCTCAAGCTCAGGAGTGTGGTCAGGGCGGGGTTCAGAGTTGGCAAAGTAATAACTGAGTCTGTGTTACTACTGCTTGATATCACAGTAGTGGGTCGGGTTTGTTCATTTGCTTATTTGTTTTTAATACTATACCATGATTTGCATTCTATTTTGAACAATAATGGTAAGATAAGAGTGAAGTTACATTGAAATCGCTAACCGTTGGCTAACAGTATCTTATATGTTAAGAAAGTAGCATGTGATTTCACCTTTCTGTAGGAAATTCTTTTGAACTTTTATTGAAAGCTTATGGAAATACCTTAAAAGTTTCTAGAATAATGGTTGGAATAAGCTGCCAAGACCGAGCTCCACTTTATCTTTCCCAGAAGAAAACAATCGTCTAGCTCAGGCTTTCCTCTCTCTATATTTTAGGAGCAGCCTCTAAATAGCACTGCAACTGTAGAGATTGATCTACAGAAAACTATTGTCTTGATGATTTTACCGTCTGCCCTTTTTCTGCCTGCTTCCTGAGTCAAAGGTTTTCAGTAGAGATTTACCATCTACTAATCCATCACTGAGTATTTAAGCATCTACCAGGCGCCTGTAAAGGTGTGCAGGGAGCTTTCGGGGATAGAGGTCTCTGTCTCTGCAGGTAAGAACTTCACAGTCCACAGGATTAAAAAGCAGGTGTTCCTTGTTTCCCAGAGAAAATCATATAGTCTTTCAGGTAATGGGAAGTGTCATATGCTTCAGTGGTCAAGGAAGTTGAAGCATGTCTAGAGGGAAGTTATTTAAAGTACCAGGCACTTTTTTTTAGTGATGATTAAGGTGTAGGGAAGAGTTAAGTTGTGTCAGCGTTGGTGGTGTCAAGCATGCGTTTCCCATAGGTCCACAGCAGGACCCTCAGCAAGTCACGACGGGATGTCCCACCATTGGAAACAAACATACTCGACTGGTTTGGGCCATCCCGCCATTGGAGACAAATGCACTCTTTACTGGTTTTTTAATTTGGTTAAGAGCTTAGATTTCACTTACTTGTTCCTTTTCCTTTCCTACGTTTAAGCCTAAGGAATTTGAAGGTTTTTCAATAACATCATCTGTACTTGAAGTCCTTGTTCACGTAGGCAGGTTAAGGAAGTGCCAGGCACTACTTGAAAAATGATTAACCTTCCTGACATACCATCCATCGCCGTAGGACTTCGAGTAGGAAGTTAATAAAGACTCTCCTAGGGAAAGGGGATTAGGATGTTGTGGTTTTTCCTCTCATCAATTGGGTCTTCTAAATTGATTTAGTAGTAGAACAATATATATTTTATTATAAAGTACATATGGGCTGATTAAAGTTTAAAACGCCATTAAACTTTAAAGTCTTAGGCCATTTTTATAGTGTGTTGATTTGCTTTTATAGATGAGTACTTGAAAACTACTACAAAGTCAGTAGACTGGAGTTAGTATCATAGGTATATTTCTTACTAACTTCTCTCAAAGCAAAAAATAATAAATATCCTAGACAGTGGTTAATGTTAACTTCACAATGACTGAAAACAATTAGTCTGTTGGGAAAATGCGTTAATAGCATGGTTTCACAGCCTTGATAAGCTTTGTTATTTGTCGTCTTTCATGTATTTACGTACTGTGCATGTCCCAATACATCTGTCATATACCCGGTGCTCAAGAACACGTGCATGGAAACTGGTGACGTGTAGCTCCTATTAAACTGAACTCATGGTGGTGGACAAACCAGATAGGAGAAGAGTCCGTCTTATTCGTCTTTGTGTCTCCAGTGTTTAGCTCAGTCCCTGCTTCTGTTTGTGGAATTGAATTTAGCGTTTTAGATAGTCTTCATGGGTAATGAGTTTTTCTCTTTTAGGTTACTAAATTTAGTTTTTTAATTTAACCATTTGAAATGTGTAGTCCTCTGATAGTGATGGTGTTTGAATTTGCAATTTAAAAAACCCGCTTATCAAGGAGCCCAAAGATAAAATCTTCTGGGGGCTGAATGAGAGAGGCTTCTGGATGTCACCGAGGGACTCTGAGGTGGCAGGATGGGTGAAGTTTCAGTACAAACAGGAGGACCGAGCCTAATACATCCTCCAGATAGGATGAAGTGCCTCCCTCTCGTCCTCATTTAGAAATGAATTTTTATTTGTTCCAGGCTGCCCTTGAAGTATGCAGAACATTTTTACAGGAAGATAAAGGTGAGGGAGTCATTATGGTGACAGATCCTCCTTTTGGTGGCTTGGTTGAACCTCTGGCTGTTACATTCAAGAAGTTAATTGCTATGTGGAAAGAAGGTCAAAGCCAAGGTGTGTAATTTATTACTTACTGCAAAACAAACATGTATCTGTGTATCTACTTCCTGTCAAATATTAGCAGAGCTCAGTGAATCAGAGCTCTGATAAAATATACATGTCTTGGGTTCTTGTGTTTTTCTAAAACGGGCTCATTTGAGAATGTGGCACTCTTCATTATCATGATACACTTTGTATTTTCCTAATCATGTGTTCTCAAAATGACTTGCAGGTGAGCATAAGGGGACATTATGAAGAATCGCAGTAAACCGTTGTCATTTATTTAATAGATATTTACTGAGTACTGGGTACTGTTTGGGTGCTGGGAATAGAGTACCATGCGAGATGGGCACATTTCCCTGTCCTCGTGGATCTTACATTCCATGTTCCTAAAGTCCTGCCCAAAGCTCCTGGAGGTCACCCAGCCTGTGGCCCAGAGCTCTAAACTGTGCCAAGATTGGGGTAGAAAGATCGGACGTGCGCTAGCCTTACAGTGGTTATCAGCGATAGATACCCACGTAGATAGAGGTGCGTTAATGGCGGGGGGTTATTATTCGTTTTAAAGTGGCTTAGGCCTTTGAAGTATTTTATGTAATTATCTAATTAGTTGGTACAATCATTTTTTAGCTTCCAGCTTGCAAGTTGATAAACTGTAAGAGCGCCAGGCTTCTTCGTTAATTGTGCTTGTGCTTTGGAGAGAGAATGCAAACGAAATCTAAAACATGACTTACAGTATTAAGTATTCCACTTATTTTCAGATCTTAAGTCCACTTATCAGAATAGATAAAGTCAGCGTTATTGGGGAAGCAATAAAGAGGTCAGTGGTCTTGAGTTTCAGTTCTGCCACTTATTGGCCGCATGAACTTGAACAAAATACCTAAATCTTAGGGCTTCAGTTGCCCTGGCTATATATGGGGTTGTTAACATCTAACTCTAAGGGTTATTGTAAGGAGATAATGTATAGAAAGTACCTAGTATTGTGCTCAGCCTCTACTGGGTGCTCTGCAATTAACAGCCATATCCCCAGTCTGTCGTCAAAGTTAATGTGGATAAAACTGTTTTTAAGAATCTTCCATGATTTGGGAAAGAATTGATTCAATTCAATTGATGCTCCCTTTCATCTCCCACTTTACTGGTGATATCTTTGCCTTTACTGGAATAGAGTGATATGTGTGTAAGGATTCCTTTGACATTTCCTTTATAGCTGTGTTTAGATCTAAAAGAACATTTCCACTGGCTCCTGGGAAAGATCAGGTTGTAAATGGCAGTCTGGTGAACATTCTCTTCTTTTGTATGATTTAAATGCATTGGATGTTTGCAATTTCTCCCAGTATCAGAAGTTTTTCAATTATAGCTGTTTTATTTTTTTTCATTTAAACTTCTTATTTTTTTTCCTTTTTTTTTTTTTTTTTTTTTTTTTTTTTTTTTTTTTTATCCATTAGATAGCAGTCACAAAGAACTACCTGTATTCTGGATTTTCCCCTATTTTTTTGAATCCCGAATTCGTCAGTTTTTTCCAAGCTTCTGCATGCTGGATTACCAGGTATAGTAAATATTCTGTTTTCGGGCATGACCGAGGAATGCTTAAGTAAATATTCTGATCAGACTATCCATCAGGTTTAGCATATGAAAATATTATAAGCTGTATTAAACACTGAAATTGTACCATACGTAGCTTAGTCCAGAGGTTCCTAATTGTAATTTTAGGGCGCTGATTAAAAATATAGATTCTTAGGTACCAAAATAAACCCACTAAATCAAAATTAGAGAGTAAAGCCCGAAGAAACCATATTTTCCCAGGCTTTCCGGGTGATTCTGCAGTGTAACTAGGTTTTAGACCGACTGACCTAACCTTTATCATCACCAGAAGATGCCACGGAACCTCAGAGTCATTGTTAGGAACGGGGATTTTTGTCTGTTCAGAGGTTGTAGAGAAGTAAGTCGCTTTTCTGGTTGGTGGCATGTCATGTACACTTTACTGTGTCACTCAGAGGATGCCAGGAGCTCTGAAGGGAGGCGTGTCCCAGGTAGCAGCATGTCAGAGAGGCAGAGATGCTGAGGTCTGTGTGTGGGGGTGAGTGTGCTGATTTCAGGGTGGAATTGACCAGCCCGCCCTCCCATCTCTGCCCTCAACTCCTTCTGCTTTAATGTCCACTTTCCTGTATTCATTCCCTTGGGTTCTGAAGTTAACCTGATTGTCACCATCACCATGTGTGGTCACCAAGTGGCCACTGCTTCCTCTTTTGTAGTGATATTTTTCTATTTGAGCTGCGGAGCAACGGACTACCTTTATGAAGGCTTTTCAGCCATAGAACTGAAAATGTCTTCCCTACTTGTTACAAGCTAGTGCTTGGATCTGAGCTTTCTAATCTTGAAGACGTTTATCATGAGAGTGATGAAAATTACCATATGAAAAAAGTTGTTATGTTTCTTTCAGAAACAGTGTTACCAAAAATGAGAGGATAGACCCTACCTGTGATTCTATCCCAAATCGCAAATATCATAATTTTCCGTGTTTGTCATCATAGCAGACAAATCTGAATTCTGTTTTCCCCCCTGTGTCTTATGTACGTGTACATTTGTAAGTGTAGCGCCATAGTTTTTATGCTTTTAATCACTTTAAATTATCTCATTAGCAAGTTATGTTATCAATTGTTATCATTCTTTTTTTTTTTTGGACTCAGATTGCTTCCACCTTTTTTTTTTTTTTTTTTTTTTTTAAATTTTTTTTTTTTAAGGTTTATTTATTTTTGAGACAGAGAGAGACAGAGCGTGAATGGGGGAGGGTCAGAGAGAGGGAGACACAGAATCCGAAACAGGCTCCAGGCTCTGAGCTGTCAGCACAGAGCCCGACGCGGGGCTTGAACTCATGGAGTGTGAGATCGTGACCTGAGCCGAAGTCGGCCGCTTAACCGACTGAGCCACCCAGGTGCCCCTGCTTCCACCTTTAAGGCACTATAAATACCACTGCCATAAACACCTTTTATTCAAATAATTTTTTCCATATTTTACACAACGTCCTTAAAATAAATTTCCAAAACCGCAATAGAATTCCAAACATTATGTTATCGAATTTAATGGACATTTCTATGGCTTCTGAGCCATATTACCAGGTTCCTTTCCAAAAGCGTATCTACACAAACCATTTTAACCTTGAATTCTCAAGCTCTGCTTTAGGCAAAGTCCATGTCATAATTCTTCCCGATTCCGGTTTACTTTCCTTTTTAGGACACACAGTTTTCTGTTTCTTGTCTGAGAGGTGCCTCTAGTGTGGACATTTGCAGAGCAGAGATAGCGGCCACATCCTAAAGATGTTAACCAAGGAAACTTCTCAGTTGGCAGGAGCGCCTGCTGCCTTTGACAGTGAAGAATCATGTGGCACGATGTTTGGCACAATAGTGGGTGCCTTATGCACGTTGAATAAATAACTGTCTGAAAACCAGTGTGAACTCCAGAGTTGAAAAGGAACTGGGTTTTAATCCTGGTTCTGCCCCTTACTAGCTAGGCCTGTACCTTTTATCTAACTCTCTGTAGCCCATGTGACCTATTAAATGAGCAGAGTAATAATCTATCTGCCTCATAAGGTTTTGAGAATTATATAACACACAAAAAGGCTTAGCCTAATCCCTGACGCACAGCAAATGTAGATTAAAGGCTATTGGTCTCAGCATTGTTGTGACCATCACTTTATTGTCACCATTCAGACAGTCCCAAGGTGGGGGTAAAACTCTTCTTTCGGACATTTTTTTTTTGTTTTTTGTACAGTATCTGAAACATTAAATTTGCAAAACGTAAGGTCCCTGAGAAAACTGGTCCATTCGTATTTATTTATTTTTTAATGTTTATTTTTGAGAGAGGGCGTGAGCAGGGGAGGGACACAGAGAGGAAGAAACAGAGGATCTGAAGCGGCTTGATTCAGCACTTGAACCCACGAACTGTGAGATCATGACCTGAGCCGAAGTCAGACGCCTAACCAGCTGAGCCACCCAGGCGCCCTTCCATACACTTTTAGAGATGAGTTTTCACTAAGGGCAAGAGTTTGAAATGGCAAGGAGCCCAAAGAAGGCAGATCAAGAGTAGAGTGGATGAGAGAAGTTACTGTGGAGAAACCAGTCATTGTTTGTTTTGACAGCCTGTGTTACTAGGAAGGAACCTGTGGGAATACTGGAGTCTCGCTGTTGAGAAATCGTTCCAAGGTCCAAGCTTATAAAAAATAATTATCCAGGGGAGCCCGGTGGCTCAGTTGGTTAAATGTCTGACTCTTGATTTCGGCTCAGGTCATGATCTCACATTTCATGACATCGAGCCCTGCGTCCGGCTCTGCACTGACAGTGAGGAGCCTGCTTGGGATTCGCCATCTCTCTACGCCTCCCCTGCACACGTGCGCTCTCTCTCTCTCTCAAAAATAAATGAACATTAAAAAAATGATAATTATACAATTCATTATATTGGTGAAAAAAGTTTCTAATTAGGCCATATGTATCAGGGTAAAAAGTAGTCTTTTTGGTAAAGAGAAAGCCAAACTTTGAAAAGGAAAATTAGAATACAATCTGTGAAACAAAGAAAAATCTTTGTTTTTCCTGATTTCTACTAAAGATCAGAACACTACTGCCCTTTATATGCTCAGATGGAGAAATTGATTTTCACCGTATCTCCCATTGTGTTTATAAACCTGATTTGTTGTATCTTACCTTGATGGCCTGCCTTTCTTCCTTCCTTCCTTCCTTCCTTCCTTCCTTCCTTCCTTCCTTCCTTCCTTCCTTCCTTTCTTTCTTTTGATTTTTTTTTCTGGATTTTCTATTATTATCCTTTCTGACACTTTTATTTTCTTTCTTTTCTTTCTCTTGTTATTTTAACCTTACTTTGTGGTAGTTTATTTTCTTGTATATTAGCTGCCTGCATCAAATGAAATTTTGAAAGTCTCTTGTCCTTCACAGGTCTTTTGCCATAGACCTTGATTAGACCTTCTTTCTCACATTGCCCAAGATGATTATAAGCTCCCAAACCATAATACAGTAAAAAAAAAAAAAAAAAAAAAAAAAAAAAAAAAAAAAAAAAAAAAAAAAAATCACTAAATCTCTTTTTTTGAAATACTTTTCGGGTAAGAAGAATGCAGAAATGCTGCAAATCTTCATAAAACATAAGTCAGACTGTTCAATGATAAAGCACTTGATGACTACAGAATAAAATAATCATCAAAGACCTAGAAAACTAAAAGTTCTATTAAGGGCAGATTAGAAAGGAAGGATGTGATAATGAAAAGAAATTTTGATTCACAGTCAGAAGTGTGAGTCCTAGCATACTGCCTTTTAGAGGCTCTTTAATCTTGGAAGAAGTCAGTTTATCTTTCCTGGTCTCTGTTTCCTTACCTATAAAATAAAATGATTGAATCAGAAAAGAGAGGGCAGATAAGTTTCACTTTTAGTGCTTTAGTGGTAAGCCTGATAAATTGGTAGTGACTTTCTGGAGAATTTGTTGAGAATACCATGCCTAGTGGCAGCGAGTAGTGTGTGATTGATTAGTGATGTCTCCCACAGGGACAGGGTCAGGGAGTAGTGGCATTCGGGTCCTGTATTTACCGTATCTGAACTAGATCACCTCACTTCCCTTCCACTGCGAACATGCAATGATCTCTTGTTTCTACTTCATCTGGGACATTTGTTTGGATTGTTATAAGTACAAACTTCGCTTTTTTTTTTTAAGCTATCTTTAAAAAAAATCATCCTGTGTTAAACTTTTTTGAAATTTTTATTTTCATGTTCAGAAATGAAGATATTTTGACAGGAATTTCTGGCAAATGATTGCAAATTTTACAGGATGGCAACTGAAATTCTTAAAACTTGATATGTAATAAACAAACATGTAAAGGGTTTGGAGTGACAAGGGGGATAATATGTATATATCATATATTAAAATATATATTGTATATATATAATGTTTTATTAAAACTATTTTTTATGGTTTTTTTTTTTATTTTTGAGAGAGAGAGAGAGAGACAGAGTGAGTGGGGGAGGGGCAGAGAGAGAGGGAGACACAGAATCCAAAGCAGTCTCCAGGCTCTGAGCTGTCAGCACAGAGCCCATGCAGGACTCGAACTCATGAACCATGAGATCGTGACCTGAGCCCAAGTAGGATGCTTAACTGAGTGAGCCACCCAGGCACCCCTATAATTTTATTTTATTTTTTTAAAATTTTTTTAATATTTATTTATTTTTGAGACAGAGAGAGACAGAGCATGAATGGGGGAAGGTCAGAGAGAGAGGGAGACACAGAATCGAAGCAGGCTCCAGGCTCTGAGTTGTCAGCACAGAGCCTGATGCGGGGCTCGAACCCACAGACCGCAAGATCATGACCTGAGCTGAAGTCAGACGCTTAACCGACTGAGCCACCCAGGCGCCCCGGCACCCCTATAATTTTAAATAAGAGGTACATGGGATATGGGGAATATGACTAAAAGACCTTATTGCTCTGGTGGAAATTGGTTGATGGAGCTAAAGAGTTCACTTCAGACCTTTTGATACACTGAAATTAAATAAATAGATTATAGTCCTTAGGGAATGGGAAAATAAATACAAGTACTGTGTCTTTTTAATCTTTGTTTCCCGGAGGGATGCCTAAGACATAGTAGGTGCAAAATAAATGTCTGTTGACTTGAACGTCTTGGTGTCTGTATAACCAGTTCCAGTCTCATGTTACAGAAGAAATTTGCGTATAGATAAAATTAAAAGTTAAGAACTGCAGAGATTTTGTGCTTTCCCTCATTTCTATACAGTACTTCATCACATTAATCAGTTCCATGGGAGAAATTTTCTATTTGAAAATGCCTCTCATCATCATTGTGAGTGAAATGTCAGAGATAATGATGGGAAAATGGTGTATCAGCTCTACCACTAGTGATATGCAATTTGCAAAATTGTGTTTGCTTTACAGCGCTTCCTTCCATAGGACGTTTATTTGTGTGGATGAAGCTATGAAATATGGATGTATGTTAGAGGTACATTAATTTACCCTAGCAGCATGCATTTTACATACCATATGTTTATAGTTAATTAGCACAACAAACCCGCATTTAAAAATAATAATAATCTCAATTAGGTTATGCAAAATCAAGCAATCAACCACCTTCCTGACACATACATTCTCCAACTCCTGGGGTAGCCATAAAGAGATTGTTCTTTTTTTTCCCTCTCTTCTATCTGCCATCCGTTGTGTTGCATGGAATATTCCATTTCTTAGAAATTTTTCTAAGGTCCTCTTTTCCAACATTTGAAGATCTTCCTGAGGTTCTCTTGGGAAGGTTTTTTCTTTCTTATGATACTCATAAATGCTCAAAATATCTTTGTTGAATTTAATAAGGTATCATGTTTTTATTGAGTACATAGAGAAGTGTATTAGGGAGAAATTATGAATTTAAATAGGTTTAAAAGAAAACTACTACAGTAATATTTTAAGGTAATTTTGAAGTAAAACCTACTTTTGTATCTTAGCCTCTAATAGGTGACATATATTCATAGAATTTTAAAGTTGGAAAGAAACATGAGGGGTGTAACGTAGGCTAACTTTTCACCATAATAATCGTCTCTACTAAGTGAGTCACCGGCCTCACTTGAATGCTTTCAGTGAGCAAAGTCCTGCAGCCTTACAAGGCAACTCAATTTATTTAATAGCTCTAATCGTTAGAAAATTTTCTCATATTGAGATAAAATATGCTCCCTATTAACTTCTAACCGTTGGTCCTACTTCTATTCTCCAAAGCAATAAAGGCTAAGTCTAATTTCGATTCCACTGACACCCCTTCAGTTATAAAACAGCTATCAGATCTTCCCAGTGTTCGCTTTTCTGAATAAACACCACCCCCAGTACGTTAAACTACAAATCCTATTCATTCCCATTACTTTTGGTAGAAATGAACTTGTTTTATCAGCGTCTCTCTTCATATGCAGTGACTGAATGCAGGGCTTCAAATGTAATCTAACTTCATCCTTTCCTTGTTATGATATTACACTTCTGCATAGGGCAGCTGTGAGCCCGTGTCAGCTCTCACACCGTCACGCTAGACCGTGGACTTACCATGCTGACAGTTAACCAGAACCCCCAGGGTTTGTCCCCGCCCCCTCCCCAACTGTCCCTTGTTTAGCTGGGTCTCCTCATGTGCCACTTATTTTCCCCCCACTGCTGAAGCTTATTGATGAGTCTTCCTGAACTTGTTCATCTGTTAGTCTGATAGCCAGCCACAGCAGGGCCATACAGAGAGCTCAGGAATTTCTCATTAAAGGCCCTCTCTTTCCATTGTCATTAAGTCCTTATATTTTTGTGATTTGTTTATTAAATAGCTAGCTTGCAAGCCAGTTCTTCTATGAAATTCTTAAGTGTATTCTTGTTTAGAATCCAAACAGTTCAGTCTAACTTATTTGAAAGTTGGGCTCTGCCTGTATTGACTTTATAAAAATCTCATGGTATTCTTGTGGATAATCTAGAACAACGGTTCTCAAATTTTAGTGTGCCAGGAAGGCTTGTTAAGAATACAGATTGTGGAGCAGGGGGTGGGGGTGCCTGGGTGGCTCCATCGGTTAAGCTCAGGTCATTATTTGTAGTTCGTGAGTTCGAGCCCCACATCGGGCTCTCTGCTGCCAGCATGGAGCCTGCTTGGGATGCTCTGTCCTCCTCTCTCTCTCTCTCTCTCTCTCTCTCTCTCTCTCTGCCCTTTCCTTGCTCATGTGCATGCTGTCTCTGTCTCTCAAAAATACATACATACATACATACACACATACATACATACATAGTTCCTGTTAAAAAAAAAAAAGAATGCAGATTGCGGGCCCTGACCCCCAGAACTTCTGTTTTCTTAGGTCTTAGGCTGGGGAGAATGTGCTTTTCTAGCAAGATCTCAGGGGCAGTGCTGGTGTTGCCAATCCAGGCATCGCACCTGGAGAATTACTGATCTAGAGAAAGATGGACTTAGTGACCAGGTGCATTCAGAGCAGGTTTAAAGCCAAAGAGAGAATGCGTATGGATAACAGAGAGGTTGGAGAAGGAGGCGGGAGCAAGAAGCCTATAGAAGCCGTGCCTGTTGGCTTCAGCTTACTTTCAGGATGAGCTGCCAAGGCTGAAAGCCGAGTTAGGGTGTTGAGGAGACGTAAATGTTTGAAATAGTCACAATTATAGTTGTGACTCTCTCTTCATCTCCATCTTTCTATGTCTCCACCACATGCCAGGCTTTGAACTCAGTATTTTACACACATTATCTCGTGTAACCTTCACAGCACCCCTGGGGCAGAAATCAGTAACCTCCTTTTCCAGGTGAGGATTATGTGAAGGTGCCTGTGGTCATAACAAGTGAGTGGCAGAGCCACTCTCTGGTCCCTGAACCTGTGCTCTACCAGGATGTGGGAGGTCACATAGTGAATGGTGGAGGGCCAAAGTAAGGCTGGATTGAGACTCGCTGACCTGACACCTGACAGGCACGCGTCTTCAGGGGTGGAATTTTTTTAGTGCCAAAAGCCAACTTCTTAATTACATAGTAGTCCTTCTTGTGAAGTCTGTTGTATTGGGTGAAAGATTACAGTTGTTCTCTCAATACTGGGCAATATGAACTTAGCATAACAAAGTTTGCCTTTTCTGTAATGAAATTTCACTGCCACAGAGGCCTCTCTGAGGCTGTTGATTAATAAGTAAACTTTTGCTTTTAAGAATTTTTTCGTAAGAGCCCCCTGGGTGGCTTAGGCGGTTGAGCATCCAACTTTGGCTCAGGTCATGATCTCACCGGTTCGTGAGTTCAAGCCCTGCATTGGGCTCTGTGCTGCCAGCTCAGAGCCTGGAGTCTGCTTCAGATTCTGTGTCTCCCTTGCTCTCTGCCCTTCCCCCACTCATTTTGTCTCTCTCAAAAGTAAACAAACGTTAAAAACAATTAAAAAGAAAGTTTCTTGTTAAATACTTTGGTTTAACTCCTAGTTGTTCTTTTTTGGTAAAGAATCTTCATAGATGTTCACTCATTTGAGTAAATGTTCTTTTTCAATTTTTTTTTAACTTTCTAGGTAGATTATGATAATCATGCACTTTATAAACATGGAAAGACAGGTCGAAAACAATCTCCTGTGCGTATTTTCACCAATATCCCACCCAGCAAAATAATCCTTCCTAGTGAAGAAGGGTACAGGTAAGATCATAGTGGGGCCTTGAAATACATGAGTCACTGAAAATAAAGTTCCATATATCTAACATTAAAATGATTCTCATATTGACTCATATAGTTCTTCTGTTACTTTTAAATTTGGTCTATATTTTATATTGAATTGCATTTGGATTACACCCAACCTCTGTAACAAGTGCCATTTATCTGCTCTGTGAATCTTCATGAGAACATGCAGCTGAGTTAAGTCTGTTTCTTTCCTCCTTAGATTTTGCCCTTTATGTCAACGATACGTTTCCCTAGAGAATCAACACTGTGAGCACTGTAATTCTTGCACATCCAAGGTATAGGTTCCTATAGAATGCATTTTTATTTAAATATATTAGTTTTATTTTAGCTTACTAGCCATTACATTTGCTTAAGGTTATTTTGATAATATTATAATTTGTATTACCATAGTATCATTTGCTAAATGTACATTAATAGAGTATTTTATGTCTAATTATAAAGTACAACAGCCTTTGCATTCATCATCGTTAATGGTTATTTGAATTCACTTTGCTATGGGACTGTATGACTGCTAAAATTAGGAGTATTTTAAATAAGGCATGAGATGAGTGCTGAATTGTGTTGGGGATAAATTTAAAGTGTTTTAGGTAAAGTACTGAACTATTAGATGCCATCAGTATTTTAATGAAGTATTAGTAACATACTGTGCACTTTTTATGTGCCAGGCCCTTTCCTAAGGGCTGTGCATGGATGAATTCGTTTTTTTCTTTAATTAAAAAAAAAAAAAATTTTTTTTTAATGTTTATTTACTTTGAGGGAGAGAGAGACAGAGTGTGAGCAGGGGAGGGTCAGAGAGAGAGGGAGACACAGAATCCATAGAAGGCTCGAGGCTCTGAGCTGTTAGCATGGAGCCTGATGCAGGGCTCGAACTCGTGAACCATGAGATCGTGACCTGAGCCAAAGTCAAACGCTCAACCGACTGAGCCACCCAGGTGCCCCAGGTACTCTGCCAGTTTTTGCAGATAAGGAAGGACTGTAGGGACACACCTCCTGTTTATTGTTTTAAAGAGGTGGGATGACACTTAAGTTGGCCTATTTGTTTTAGCTAAATCCAGTCAGAAAGAACATAGGAAGTTCAGTTTGGGTAATATACGCAAATCATTCTCCAAAGGAAAGGCTATATTTTTGTAACTATTATAAAGTACAGTTTTCAAAACTCTATAATTTTATGACGGGTTATACTTGTTTTTAACTGTGGCAGCACACCTGATTACATGTATTTTCAATCAGTTTAGAAATTCTCTGTGTTCTTTATTTAAAAGAAAAAAATTACACCCAGATCATATAAAGCTCAAAATGAGGAAGACCAGACTTTATCATTTAGAGAGGCACACGTAAGTGGTAAAAAATAAACAAAAGCAAGGAAATGACCATCCCAGGAACCGGAGTAGGTGTTACTCAATGGGGAGGGAGGGGTTGCTGGATTAGAAAGGGGGGGTGTCTCGGGGCTGACAGGATTCCATTTCTCAGCCTGTTGGGATTCATCAGTCTGTTCTTTATAATTCTCATTAAATGGGACATGTGCCTTATACATGAAAGTGTCTTATACATTTTTCTAGGTAGTTCTATTTCCCGGATTTAACATTACCCAGACAGTACCCTGTAATCTCTATCTTTCTAAATTATCTAAAATTCTTAAATGCGAATTTTATTAAGGATTACACCACATAGACATGTCAAAGTTATGAATCATTAATTCTCTTGAAATTTTCATTGAGTCCTTCTTTGTGCAGTATGGATTGCTTGAACTCAAGATCATGTAGATAAATCCCCTAGTTTTCCAGTTAAGGAAATTGGGGCCCATCAAGGCGGCCTTTGAGTTGAGTGGAGAAATGCATAAATTAAAATCAAAGTAATTGTGAAGCCCAGGAAAGTGAGAAATAAGGAGTGAATAATTTACACAGATTTTAATAAGGCATTTTAATTTTTAATTGTGGAACTTGATTTTTATGATACATTAAACATAATTTAAAAATTATTTTTGTAGGATGGCAGGAAGTGGAACCATTGCTTTCTCTGCAAAAAGTGTGTAAAACCTTGTAAGTATTTAGACTTAGTGTTTGACATCCTATGAAAACATTTCAGCGGTTTTCTTCACCCAGATAGGGTTTTTATTTAATTGTATCTATAAGAGAAAAAAACTTAATATAGACACCTGCGTTGATTTTACCTGCTTTGTAGTTTTTGCAGTTACCAAAATGCACACTCTCTCCTTTATAGGGAGATATGACTGTAACCTATTTCAGTGTGGCATTTGGTTTGGCTTATTTTATTTTATTAATTTAATTTATTTTATTTTTTTAACATTTTTATTTACTTTGAGAGGGATGGGGGTGGTGGTGGTGGTGCAGTGGGGAAGCGGCAGAGAGAGAGGGAGAGAGAGAGAATCCCAAGTAGGCTCCATACTGGCAGCGTAGAGCCTGATGTGGGGCTCAAACCCATGAACCATGAGATCAGGACCTGAGCTGAAGTCAAGAGTCACATGCTCAACCGCCTGAGCCACCCAGGTGCCCTGGTTTGGCTTATTTTAGTAGGGCTCTGTGTCCCTCAGCCAACCCCCATGGTGTCAGTGGCTCCCGCTCATGACTCCTTGAAGGGCTGCATTTGTTGCCATGTATCAGAAAGAAGTTTGCTGGTTTATGTGGGATTCCGACTCTTTACCTTGGCCTCTGTAGCCAAAGTATAACCAACTATGCAAACCAGTCACGGTAATTTGAAGTAATCACGGTTCATCCTCTCTATCATAAAGGTTGGTCAAATGAAAAATTATATTAAATGAACTTCTTCCAAAACTCAATTTTTATTTTATAGCCTGGATCCACTGTAGCCTTTGCGGTCACTGTGCTCTTCCAGATCATTCCTGCGGGGCCCCTAAAGATGGCTGCTTTATTTGTGGTGAATTAGATCATAAACGTAGTACTTGTCCTCAGATCACTGCATCTAAGAAAGTGATCAGGTAAGTTGAATTCTTTTATGGGTTAGTAACATGCTCAGACTTTGATCTGTATGATACATGGAAACTGAATTTGCATTTTAGTTATATATTGTAGGCTCTTTGTTGGCTCTTCAACAGCCCTGGCTAGTCTGCTTGGTAGTATTATATTGTTTTCGTTGAGGGAAACCATTTAGTATTTTTTAGTACTAGATTTTATGAAGTTTAATTCAAGGAGCAAATCCATTAGGATGTGGTATACCTGATAAGTCTTTCTTTTAAATATATTTTTTTAATGTTTATTTATATTTGAGAGAGAGAGAGAGAGAGAGAGAGAGATGGTTTGTGAGCAGGGGAGAGGCAGAGAGAGATGGAGGCAGAATCTGAAGTAGGCTCCAGGCTCTGAGCTGTCAGCACAGAGCCTGAGCAGGTCTTGAACTCATGAGCCATGAGATCACGAGCTGAAGTCGGACGCTTAACCAACTAAGCCACCCAGGTGCCCCAAGTCTTTTTTTTTTAATGTTTATTTTGTGAGAGAAAGAGCCAGGGAGGGGCAGAGAGAGAGGGAGAGAGAAACCCCAAGCAGGCTCTAAGTGGTCAGTGCAGAGCCCCATTTGGGGCTCGAACTCACGAACCGTGAGATCATGACCTGAGCCTAAACCAAGAGTCAGACACTTAACCAACTGAGCCACCCAGGCACCCCTACCTGATAAGTCTTAAATAGTATTACTTTTTTCTCAGAATAGACTCCTGAACTGTTGACAGTTATCTTCAGGTATTTCTCTCAAAAATTTTTCATAATGAAATTGACAAGGTAAAATTTTTTCTTTACAATCGTAAAAAATAATTTTAATAGAGGCACCTGGGTGACTCAGTCGGTTAAGTGTCAAACTTCGGCTCAGGTCACGATCTCGTGGTTTGTGTGTTGGAGCTCCGTGTTGGGCTCTGTGCTGACAGCTCGGAGCCTAGAGCCTGCTTCACATTCTGTGTGTCGTGTCCTCTCTACCCTTTCCCTGCTCGTGCTCTCTCTCTCTCTCTCAAAAATAAATAAACATTAAAAAAAATAGATATTTTATATTTTAGCATGTATGGCATAAAAGATATTTCATAGCTGTCTTATATTAATTTGTTTTTTTCTGAGTTTAATTTGCCTTTGCTCCTGAACTGGAATGATGCAAGCTCCCTCTTGTGGTTAATCGTTTTTATCATTACATAAATACCTATAATTTAGAGAACAGCTACTAGGTCAATTGAATTTTAAGGCAAAACAAAACAATTGATTTATACTCAATCAGTTCAGTTTATACTCATGTGAAAAATTTATCTCCGGAAAGTTTTGTTTATTCATATTAACAAGTGAACATATTCTTCTGCTTTTGTTTACTATATATTCTAGTGAGGTCTGGTCCGTGTTTAGTTCTTTTTGTAAGTGGATAAGCCAAAGAAAATTTGTTCAAATTCTGTATACAGGCACAAACAGCTTCAATGACTTTGCCATCCAGACATTAGACTTCATTAAGTTTGCTAAATCATCCCTTGTCAGAACATTAGCCTACTTCAAATAATGACTGGAGGGAAAGGAGGTTTATATAACATGCACAAAACAGTGTATGACTGTAGCATTTGTTTTATTTCTGAACGGGTAGGCTATCCGAATCCATAATGCAAAATCTAAATATGGAAAAAGGGAAAGTTGTCAAGCAAAAGTCTGAATAATAGTCATGCGGCACTACTAATAACAGCTCGTATTTGTTTCGTGCTTACTGTATGCATAGCATTTTACATATCTGAATAATTTATAGCAGAGTACATAGTATCAAGGTAATTAAGAACACAGGTTCTAGGATCTGGCTGGTCTGCCACTTCTTCATTGGACGATTTCATAGCCTCAGTTTCTTCCCCTAAAAAGAAGCTGGGGGAAGGAAAAGGAAAGGTGACCTCAGCCTTGTCTCAGTCTCCCAGATCCTTGGAGTCAAAGATTATGCCCACTCATTTCCATCACTTAATAGAGATGTTGTGTGGACAGAAAGCAAGGCTTGAGTTTGCTCCACTGAGGGATTATATATTGTTTATGGAGCTTCTTTCCTAGGTTTTGGTCCTGGGCAGATCAGAAGGAAGCTTTTCCCTCGGACTTGTGGTTTAGGAGAAGTGCATCTCGTGACCGATACTGCTGGGTAGCCTTGGGGATTTTCCAGGTTAGCTGGTGCTGGCAGCCCGCATTTTCCTTGGTTGGTAATGTGATAAATGGCATGATTCTGTAAGTTTGGAGAGAGAGAATGAACGGACAAGTAATCTTTCTTAGCTATAGATTGTCTGTAACTTAGTTCAGAGAGTACCAGAAGCTAAGGATCTGTTTTGTTCTGGTGTGCTTTAGTGTTTTTAGGGGGCGAGTTCCATCTCGTTTGTTTTGAAGCTAGTCTTTCGAGAAGACAGGGACCACAAAATATGGACATCCTGTGTGGCACTTGTCCAGACTTTTACACCCACCGAGGAAGAGAAAATTAGCCGTAGGGCTTATAAGATGGGCCTCCGTTAAGTGTTGTCAGTTTTTCCATAGTGCGATTTCATTTCTCCACCTCTGCTAACTGTCGAATGTGTCGGTCCTTTTCCTGAAAAATGTAATGCAAGGATTTGGAGATTGAAGTGCTGAGTTGAGCAGTACAGACGTACCAAAACCAAAACAACAGCAAAAACAAACAAACAGACAAAAAAAACAAAAAAACAAACCAACCAAACAAAAAAACCCTCCTAACTCATTGGGTTTACTGTTTTTACAATTTAAAGGATCTATATCCCAAGTATTATTTCAATACATAATCAATGTAAACATTGGCAAAATATTTTGCATTCTTTCTTCAACATCCCGTGTGCACTTGACATAGGGAGCACATTGAACTCGCCCTCACCACATTCCAAGTGCTTGGATGCCACATGCTGGTTAGAAGGCCACCGGACGCTTCAGCACAGCAGCGGTTTTTCCTGGCTTGACTATTTACCTCTGTGGTGTGTTTACTCGAATAGATTGTTCTGAATCTGTAGTAACCGTCTGTCAAGGAAATTTCTTTACTCCAGCATATTGTTTAGTGAGGCCTCAGACTACATCCTTGTTATTATGATTAGGGTTCTGAGGATTTATGCTTAGGATACAGTAAATTCTTTTCCTCCTGTTTTCTTATTTGGTCAGCTGGTTAATTAAATCCCAGCATAATTACATACATCATGCTTATTCTACAAAATAATTCAGCACCTTCTTTTTCAGAGCTGTCAGAAAGCAGAAGCAAAGAAAAAGTAAGAAGACGAAAATGGAGACCGTTAAAGAGCAATCCATGAATCACACATCTGTTACAAGGAAGAAGAAAAGGAGAGAAAGAGCCCATCAATATCTTTGCTCTTAAATGTCCAGTGACTTGAGAATAAGAAAGATTTATAGTCCAACCTTTGATGCCATTTTCTGAAAGTGCCACACTGGACTTAAATTCTGTCGCTTTCAAAGGTATGTGCCTTTTGAAGCCAGAAAATAGGCAGGTGGCATTTGTTGGTGTCTGGGCCCCTCAGCAGCCTCTCTGGAGACCTGGGGAGTTGTCCCATCCTTAGCTGGTTTGCCAGACCTCTCTGTGTGCCTTCTTTCACTCTCCAAATCTGTCCCAGTCGTATCATTTGGCCTCTTTTGAACAATGGGAATATAGCATTCTTTTGCAGAAAGTGTCAGAAGAGGAATGAAAGGGGAGACTTGAGGTCTTGTTCATATTGAACACGAGTGTGTTAAATTAGACACAGGAATGTTGTAAGTCAAACATCAAAATACTGTATGATGGGTTAAACCCCACTTGCAAAGAAAGGCACAATGAGCAATTATTTGGGGACAAAAACTGAAGATGATGGGAAGAATTTTGACGAGGATAGTCTAAAGATATCAAGAGTATCATCATGGCTTTATGATTAAATATGGGTTTTTCAAGTACTTTTTACAGTGTCCTTTGATGGTATAGAACCACTTAACTGTTGTGGAATGAATGAGACATTTAGAATTATGACTCGCTCTGTCATCTCAGTATCTTTTAAACCAGGCAGTAATTTTATTTCTTTAAAAAAAATTTTTTTTAATGTTTATTCATTTTTGAGAGACACAGAGAGAGCATGAGTGGGGGAGGGACAGAGAGAGAGGGAGACACAGACTCTAAAGCAGGCTCCAGGGTTGGAGGTGTCAGCGCAGAGCCCGATGTGGGGCTTGAACTCACGAATCGTGAGATCATGACCTGAGCTGAAGTCGGATGCTTAACTGACTGAGCCACCCAGGTGCCCCAGTAACTTTATTTCTTTGTAAAAGTAGTAGCAGAAGGCAGCATAGTTTGGGGATTAAAACCTCTCATTCTTGTTCTGATGAACACTTGCTGACTATATGTCCTTGGCCAGGTCATTCACTCGTACCCGTTTCTTCATTATTATTATCATATAATTACTACATTATGTAATAATAGTTATACCACAGGCTGTTTTCTGTGATTATGTTAAATGAGGCACATGTGTCTGGCTCTCGTTCTGTTGGTGAGAAATGTTAAGTGCAGATGGCTGGGGTTGCAGCCCTAATGGTAATCATCTGGTGGTCCAGTATCAGCAGTGAAGGGACTGGGTTTGAATTCTGAGAACAAACAGTTCCTCTCCCTATTTCTCTCTAGGTATCTGACATGATCTCCTTAAGATCCCATAGTTTTGAATGGCTTGCATTTGCATAATGACTTTTCTCCTATTCCCAAATAGTTGCTTTAGAGCAGGTTTGGAGGCATGCTTGCTTGGGCTTAGCTAGAGCCCTGTGAGTAAAGGTACAAGAGCTGCACCCCATCTGGCATGGAAATTCCTTCTGGTCTTTAAGGTAGGGCTGTTGGATGCGTGATGTGGAAGGCACAGCGTGGGCCCTGATCAGCTGATGGGGGTGTATATCCGGCCACATCAAAAGATGAGCTAAGCCCCTGGACTTAACATGCATCAGAAAACTCTTCCCTTGTCCCCTTTTTCCACGGAGGTTGCTATGGTGGTCAGAGGGGTGGATTTAGAGGTGACGGGGTGAGATGTGAACCTTTTGCCGAGTAATTAGGAGTGTTCCCTTCTCTGATTCAGCCATGGGCGTGAACATTGCCTGACTTTCACGGTGGCCCCTGATACCATGCTAAAATCTCTGGAAATCTCCTTGGAAACGCAGACACCTGAGGGACCACGATTCTTCAAGAATCAGGTCCTGCTGGCCAGGAGTTATTATCATCACCCCATTTCCTTAGTTTTAAGGTACCATCAATTGTAAAATGCACTATTGATGGGATTGTAACTTTTCAGGGGGAGAAACCCCATAGCTTATTAATTGTGCATGTTAAATTTTAGGTATATCCTGTTTCAGAAATATTGAAATGTGAAAAAAAGCACATCTTAGAATTGAGGAAATCGGGTATTACTTACAGTCAGGAATTATGTACTTTAAAACTTGAACTTCTTAGGAAGTTAAAAATAAGAAATCCAGTGATTCTGTTCTTCTGTTCAATTAATACTAATTTTAAGGACTAACCGCTTCTTTCTTTTCTCAGGGAATAAACTAATAGGATGTAAAAATGTCTCTGGGAGGTAAAGTGTGATGGGAGATGAGGTCATTTGTTCTAATTAGAAATCTGCATATCTGAACATTAAGATACCTACCCAAATCACCAATAGAGGAAAATTCCTAAATCTGACACAGAGCTTTTTAAAAGGATGTTTTTCTTAAATTATTACAGCTAAATTTAATTCCACTTCTTGCTTCTATTACAAAATTTAATGACAGCCAGAGTCACTTTGTAGGCCCTGAATGATCGGATTTCAGGTTTTTTTCTTACATTTAGTTTGATATTTAGACTCATTTATTTCTCCAATCTGCCCCACTGTTTTCATCTCATTCCCTTTGCTCTGTTGGGACTATATCCCTCCATATGGCCCAGCCCCACTGTCTCCAGGAAGTGTTCTAGGAGTCCCCCTACCAACCGCTACCTTCCTCTCTGAACACTTGGGAGTTCTGCAGCCACACCTGAGGCACTTTTCATGTATTGTTCTGCCATTATATGTACAGATTCTATTTCCCCAAAAGATTGCGGTTTCTTCATGTCATTACCCATTTTATACCATCTTCTGTAGGTGCTCAAAAAATTTGATGAAGGCATGGAATTTTCTAGAAGTTTTCAGATGGTGGGTGTGTTACTTTGCTAAGGCTGCCATAACAAAATATCACAGACTGGGCGGCTTAAATGACAATCATTTATTTTCTCACAGTTCTGGAGGCTGAAGGTCCAAGGTCCAGGTGTTGGCAAGTTTGGATTTCTGATGCCTCTCTCCTGAACTTACCTTCTTGCCGTGTCCTCTCACAGCCTTTCTTCTAGGCTTGTGAGTCCCTGGTATCTCTTTGTGTCCAAATTTCCTCTTCTTCTAAGGATATGAGTCAGGTTGGATTCGGGCCCACACTAATGGCCTCTCCTTCTTAAGGGCCCGATCTCCAAATATAGTGCCATTCTAAAGTACTGGGGGCTAGATTTAGAAGGTATGATTCAGTCCCTAACAGTGGGCCTGCCTAAGATCTGGAGAGGGCTTGGTCTTCTGTTCTATAAGGACTCAAACAAGGAAGACACACCTGAACAATATTGGGAAGTATTTAGAGTCAGTGCGAAGACTGTCCTGACACTGAGGGTTTAGATGTATGTTTTGGGTTGGGATGTGCTCTGTGAGCAAGATTGGCAGCCTTATCTAGATGGCTTTACATGTAGAATAATTCAGCTTTCAAAAAAATAAGAAAAAAAAAAAGACAGAAGAAGAAGAATTCAGCTTTGAAGGTGATTTTAAGGAAAACACTTAAGTTGACGTCTGGCTCCTTCAAAGTGATCTATAAAATAGTAGGCATCTACGGGAAGTTTAACTAATTTTTAAATATAAAATCATAGCCCACAAATGATCCTGGTCTGGTGCTACCTCCTTTTCACAACGTCCTTGCTGGTGTCTCCAGTGGAATAGTATATCTCCTGCCAGTGAAATAAAAATGTGCATGTGTGTGTGTCTTTTCATTTCTCCTTCTTTTAAGGTACTTAAATTATGCCCTGCATTAGATCAATGTTTTTGGACTTCCTCTGTTCAGATTAGAAGCTTTGTTGGTAGCAATGGCCTGTGGACACCGTGGTGTGTGTTCACTGGCTCCTTTCTGGAGCTGTGCCTTGCACCCAGTGATGTCAGAGACAGCCAACTGCTGCACATGTGACTTCACGAACCCTCCTTACAACCCCGGGAGGCGGGTGGCCAGGCTACACGTTTCCTCACCCACCAAGCGGTAGCTGCTCATAAATGCGGATTGAGTGAATGGAAGTGCCATGTAATATACATACTCCTTGGTGCCTCAGAACCCTAACTGCGCTACACGAGTCAGAAGCTAATACGCTTAGAGCTGCCTAGGTAAGGAAAGCTTGAACAAAATGCAAAGAAAATCCAATTTCACCTATTTGATGCAGTTTTAATTGAACATTAGGACATGGGTTAAATTACTTGAGGGTCAGCTAAGAAGGTCATTGCAATACACTGAAGATAAGATCTCTACAATTTGATTTCAGGCGATTCAGTGTAAGTATTTACTCAGCAAGACTGAGGGGAAAAAGCACCCAAAGTGAGCAAGCAGATCTTGGAGCTCTGAGAGAGGAGTTTTATCCCATTAGCCAGACAGTCACGAGATTCTCACACTATGGAGTGGCTTCGTACCACGGCAGACTAGAAGCGTCACATCTGGTGGGCTCCAAGAAAACTGAGCCTCAGTAGACGGGCCCAGTTTCTTCACCTGTGAGTGCAAGGGTGAGGAGTAGGAGAAACCAGGGAAATCAGACTGAACATTTTATATGCTTCACGAGGACAAAAAGAGACAAAGGGCTTGCCTGTTAGCTTTGCAATTAATTAATTAACTAATACACAAGCCAGGTAAATCAAAGAAATTGAAAAGAAACGTCTCCATTCCTACCTCTCAGAGATAACCACCATTCCAAAGATAGGTTTTTGTATAAATAGCTACACAGACACACTCTAAAGTTTCCCCCATGAAAATGGGAGTTGGGAATACATACTATTTTGTAATCCTCTTTTTTATCAGCATCTGGACATCGGTTTATACTTACAATAGTCTTATTCTTCAGTATGGATATAGTGTATTTTTTAAAATCAGTCTCTCATGGTTGGACATCTAAGTTGTTTATGTTTTCACTATTGTAAATAACCCTATGATAAACATACTTAATGGCCAAATCTATTGTCTTAGGATAAATTCCTATGCATACCTATATATACTTTTTTCTACAGATGGGAATCACGGGTTGGTCTCCGAATTTCTTCCGTAGAGACAAATAAAACAGCA